CATTGGATGAATTTCTGTTAGTAAAAGTCACTGTGAGAAGCAAATAAAAATATTTTTCCCTTTTTTTGCTTTTTCTCTTTTCCCATTTGTTGAACATTTGTTGCGTTACGTAAACAGAGCTCCAAAGGGCAGCGGTTCTTTGACGTATACAGTTAAGTATTTATAAGATCACTCAGTTGTTGCCATATTTACTGACGGCAGTGCTCAATGAAGTTCACAGAGCTGGTGGTGACTGTTCCCACCTGCACAAGTCAGCTGAATGCTTAAGGGAAATAAATTAAAGCACATAAGGCCAATTTTCCAAAATCACTTTAACTGAGTCTCTTTGTATACAGACCCACTTTCAGCTGTTATTCATTAAATTGATTTTTACTGTCCACTTGTCACTGTTTTTGCCAAAGCATTTCAGCACAATGTCTTATGCAAACTTTACCTACTTAACCAGAGTTGCTTTCTCTTCATCTTTTGACTTTGCTTTATTGTACAAGAAGCAGATTGTTTCTCTACTGACATTCAGTAATGCATGCCGCCATTCACAGATTGTGCTCTGTGAATATCTATGTACATTACCATTTTCAAAAAACTGTAAAATAAATAAATAATGCACTTCATTACTACAATAGTTTGCACAAAACACTATATGTTTTTGCTGTAGGCTTAATGCCAAACTAACAGTCTCAAAAGAACCTAAACAAAATCAATAGATATCAAAACACCTTCTGATTTCTGCAGGTAGACTAATGTCAAAAATATCCATGTTTACAAATAAAATACATTTTTGTCTGATCGTTTTCAAGAAGGGAACATGTATATTGATCTGACTGAAATCTTTCCAGCAAAGACTCTGAGCCCGGATAATGAGATGAATCTGCACAGATTGCTTGTAAATCCATTATGAAAATAACCACCTGGCCAAAAGAAGTTCTTAGTCAAAAAGGTCAACTGAGGCAAACCCTGTGAACTGCTGTTTGCTCAGTGCAAGTGAGGTTGACAAGTATTCACAAATCATTTCTGACCCCCAGAGATTATACTAAAATGAACTGGAAAATTCAAACATATACATATATAAAATGCATATTCTTGTGTGTGTCTGTATTTGAAGTTACTCCAGTGTAACTTGAGTAACTAATTAAATGTAATTAGCTTCTACCCACCTCTGGCCATGAACTGATACATAAAAGGCTCATGAAGATGTTTACCTTCATATATTTACAACCTTACACACCATGCGTAAAGTTTATCAGATTATCAGACCACCAAAACACACAGGTGTTCAGCAAGCTAAAGCCGAACTACAGTCTCTAAGCTGATTGGCTGTGACGTTTTTAGGCTTTTGTCCTGGAAATCAAAGGATCATGCTTCATTCATCGGATTCTCTGCAGCGTGGCCCTGACTGACACGCAACGGACTGAGAGCACATGCCATGTAAACAAACCATTCAAAACATACAGCATAAGGCGGCCTTGTCTGTTTCCTCCAGAATCTCCCTGAACACAGGCTGCCCCTATCCTGCTGTATTCCATGGCTTTCCTATGACTCTGCTGATTTAAAACTGATAATTTAGACTAAAATGATTTTATTTCCCAGAATGTTCTTTTCTTTGTTGCCATAACACAAACACACGACCAATGTTGCTGGTCGGATGACTCTCTGTAAGTGTATTATTTAGATTTTTAACCAGATGCTGTTGCTGTGGTTTATATACAAATCATATACATTTGTAGGTGTGATAAATACTCCACTACATGTTTTTAAAGAATTTTGTTTCTGCTAAAGACTTTAATTTATATCACGAGCTACTTGGGTCCAAGAGCTCTAGTGTCTGTCATGACAACAATAGCACTGGCTAGTGCTATACCACACGGTGGAAATGAAGTACTAAATCCTTATTTCCTCTGTAAAATGGAAAAATAAAACTAATTTTCATTTCCTCTCCAGGTCTTAAAAGGATGTTGATATGAGTTCTTTCCCAATACCTCACAACCTAAGTTTGGTGAGAGGAAGTGAAAGGTTGACCAAAACAAAACAAAAAACAAAACGAAACAAAACAAAAAAAAAACATGTTTCCACATCAGCTTTAACATCAGTGTCCTCACACTGAAACTACAATTTTTTTGTCTTTCGGAGCTTCTCTGTCCTCTTTGCTAATCGGTGAAGGCAAACATTGCTGAGAAGAAAATTAGTATAATGCATATAATTGTTCATGGCGTGAGCAGGCTGCCACTGGTGTGTTTGCTCTTCTGGACCATGTTGCCAGGATAGTGTGTGTGCAAGAAGTCCATCTATCTAAAAAAACAAGTCTGGAGATTAGCTTAGGCACAAAAACACATTTTAAGAGACTAAGGACGAGGACACAGCATACTGAAGTCTGTTTCTATATAAAGTATCACAGCATCAGTACAGTGTCAGGCATGTAATTTTCTGCCAATAGTACCCAAATTCTGATAAATAAATAAAAAATTATTCTATCACTCTTTATGTAATGCTGAGCAGATTTAAAGTGTTGATAATATTCAACTGAAATGCACATTTCTGTTTCCATGTAAAATGCTTATAGAACCAGTATCATGGCAATGGTGTCGTTCTGCATGTGAATTTTTTTTTATGCAACTCTGGGAACGCACTGGCTTAAATTGTCAACCAATACTCAGGGATGTAGCACAGGTTCACTCCACCCCGCATACACAAATCCATCACTGAGGCTTTGAACAACCCTGGCTTAGGTGTATGCGTATCTCATTTCAACCTGTTGCCCTACAGAAGGCTAAAAAAGGTCACCATGGTTGGCAGGTATGAGGTTTCACAAAATATGACTAGATAAACACAGAGACATATGGCTGAGCTTGTCCTCAACTTAAATATCAAGAATAGAGATGTTTTTTGCTTTTTCTGTTAGAGGATATTTGAAGCAGAGAAGGTGAAATGAAACTGTGGTCCTGAATGTTTATGATGAACAATATCAACGTCTTGAACGCGGCTAACGTTGGCTGTATTGTTTTGATGCAATAAAACAATGACGCAGGGATATAAACACAGTGAAAACATGAGAAGCATTAGGTTGACCTAGAAATTACACTGAGAATTCCCAGCAACACAGGGCACCTTCAGTTAAATTAAAAACATGTTGACAGTAGTCTCAACAACATTATATGGCTCAACATCAGCAGCCTGTTGTCTGACGCTCCAGCTTGGTTGTTTACAGAACATTTCAATAGTATTCAAATGTCTGGGACATTTTCACATTCAGTCTCTAGCTTCTATGCATTTTATTGGAATTGCATGTGATATGATGTATGATTTTGTTGCCTGTGATATGTATTCTTGCTGATGCATTCAGCTTAAGCCTTTCTCTCAAATATGAACACAATTGTGTGATGCTGTCACCAACATGTTTCACCATTTGTTTGTTTGTTTGCTTTGTTCTGAGTGACACACAGAGTTAGTTTTCCACCAGTTCTGCTGCCAAAAGATAATTCTACCTTCTACATTCAAACAGTGTTATCTGTGACTTGTGGGGCATGTTCCATTGGTGCAATGTAATGCTTCGATACAATGACACAATGTTTCACCCCACAACATCGTGTGTGGGTGTGAATACTTTTGTGATGCACCTTATCTAAAATGTTGTCCTGCAAAAGCTGAGTGCATTAACTAAGTGGTCAAAAAATCAGACTTTGAAAGAGAAGAACTGAGTTCCACAAGGTGCATCACATGTGGCAGCACACTCAACACATAAATTATATTCAAGGCTGTCCCTTTTATTAGAAATCTCTCTCTTCTTCACTTTGATTCTCAGGTGAGAGGATAGGTTAAAGGTGATGAGTGGTTAAAGCAGGAAAGTGGATGAGCAGAGGCTGAGTCACAAGTGTCAGGCTCTATCTTGGGCTACCTTAATTAATAGGCCATATGAGAAAGTCGATACAGATTGGATTGAATGGCTTGCAGGCAGTAGTTACAACCAGCTGGACTTCTCAGATTTTTTTTTTCCACCCTTTGAGCCACTATGACGTTTGCTGCCACTGTGTTTGCTTTCTGACATTTTGTCCAAGCGGTAACAGTGATGAAAGTGACAACTACAGAGATGTGAATAACTGGGATATTTTTATGGCTCCTAAAAGAATTGTTTAAACATATGTGGTTTGTATGCTGTAACAGTTTTTCTTAAATGGGTAATGTGTTTTTAAAGGGGGACGCCATCAGAGTCTGGACTGACCTGCTTCACAGTGATCATGTTTTTAGTCACATTTGTTGTTTATTGTTTTGATTTTACATATTGATAAAGGCCACGTATTTAGATACATCCGTAAGAAAAACGTTTTGTTTTTCCTCAGCATAAAAAAACATTTTAAAAACATTTCACACTCTTATTCAGGTGAATAAAGATATTTAATTATATATTTCTGTCTTTAATGGATCTTAAAGCAAGGTTTCCACAATAACTTCTCTTTGCTGCACAATCCTCTCAGGTCTATTTTTATCCATGCTGTTTGTCAAGATTTGGTCACCAGTTTTTTCTTTCACTCAACTTTTCATTATGTCTAAATAGCCTACCACTTTCTCTTAATAGCTAGACTCTTTATTAGAAACCCTACTTTTCTTATATTAGTAAGGCAGGGTTTTAGTGACCCTGCTCTTCTGCCAAGGTCAAGGCAAAATTCAATTTATACATAGAAATGCTGTCAATACTGTCAATCCAACCCAATCCAATCCATTCAAATTAAACACTTTCAATAAATGCTGAAACAAACCAAATTGTCGGTGATTTTCAAACTCGGTGACATGCATATGAAAACATAAGCTTGTGTCTGACCAGTTTTTTTATTTTGATATAGGCAGAACTGACGCAAAACCGGAGCCTTACTAAACATTGTGATTGCCGCTCTTCGCTCTTGCTCCTATGATGCTAGGGTGACGCATGACGCAATGGAGGCGCGGCGATCTTCTCCAATAAATTCTCAGCCAGCAGCCCGTCTCAGCTTCAGACCTTTCCCATCCCCGCACTGACAAGGCACCGCTGAAGACGGGGTGCAACATCGCTGCAGCTATGATTAAGAAAATGTCTCAATCCGAGAATGACTTTGACATTCCTGCCAAGAATTGCCACAGGATGGTGATTCTGGGCTCTACTAAAGTTGGAAAGACGGCCATTATCTCCAGGTTTCTCAACGAGAAGTTTGATGACCAGTACACACCGACTATTGAAGACTTTCATAGAAAGTTCTACAGCATCAGAGGGGAGGTTTACCAGTTGGACATCCTGGATACATCTGGAAACCATCCGTTCCCTGCAATGAGGAGACTTTCGATTCTCACTGGTGAGTTTAGAGTCAAATCAAAAATCCAAATTACTCTGTTCGGTGGTCTAGATTTGATTTTGTGAACTCTTCTTGGTATTAAAACATGTTCCTTTGTATTTTGGTTTTTTGCAGGTGATGTTTTTATCCTGGTGTTCAGTCTGGATAACAGGGACTCGTTCGAAGAGGTTCAGCGTCTGAAGCGCCAAATTCACGACACTAAGTCCTGCCTCCGCAACAAAACTAAGGAGAAAGTGGACGTCCCGCTCGTTATCTGCGGCAACAAGTGCGACCGGGACTTTTACAGAGAAGTGCAGGACGAAGAAATCGAGAAGCTGGTCGGGGGGGACGAGCACTGTGCGTACTTTGAGATCTCTGCAAAAAAGAACACCAACGTCGACCAGATGTTTCAGACGCTCTTTACCATGGCCAAGTTGCCCAACGAGATGAGCCCCGACCGACACTGCAAGGTTTCCTTGCAGAACTGCGACGTTTTGCACAGAAAGTCGTTCAGGAATAAGAGGTGCAAGGATGGGAACGCTTACGGGATAGTGGCGCCGTTTGCGCGCAGACCAAGTGTGCACAGTGACTTAATGTACATTAAAGAGAAAGCAATAGGTGGCAGCCAGACCAAAGAGAAAGGCTGCATTATTTGCTGACGTCTTTACCAAATAGACTGCTCGAAACTCTTGCAGCCAAATAAATACATACAAATCAGACGAGCTGGAGAAAACACGAGACCAAATAGAAAAAAAAAAAACAACAAAAAAACTGGAGACTGTTTGATCCAAAAAGAGGTCGAGACGCGGTGCAGTAGATGCTCTGGAAATGCTGCAAATGTGATTGGGTTGTCTCTCCAAAAGCAGCGTTGAAGGGAATAAATGTTTACATTTTGCCATTGTTCTCACGTGGAATGGCACTTTGAATGTTGAACAAAATGTATACACATGTATTTATCATGTCCTTGTCAATATTTTTTGGATAAAGAGAAAATAAAACACTTGATACTTTTATTAGCCTCTTGTTTCCCTTGTTTTTAATTTCATGCATAACACAATGTATTATGTACTGTTTAAAGAATTTCTATTTTTTTTAAAACAGATTCACTGCCTTGCCTTCCTTAACATTTAGGCACTTTAATTTTGAGCCAACAGTGGATTTATTGACAATAAATACAGTAACTCACAAGTGGTAGAAGATTATGTTAATAACAACAGCGAGATAAGGTTTTCAAAATTGTTTTAATACAAAAAACAAAGATTAGAAAATTCAAACAAAATCTATAGACTCAAACACAACCAAAAATAATAAAATAACTAATGATCCTCAAAATTGTCGTGCAATGCAGGAAACAAATGCCATGTATGCCATGTCCTTGACCAGCTTGAGTTTCAATTTATTTTTCCCCTCCAGTTTGTGAAGTCCAGTCCAACCTAACTAGTGTTATGATGCTTTGGGGACATCAAACATGCATAGGCTTTTGTATTTCTGAAGCAGTTGGTTCTTGGTGCGCACCTGCTCTCTCAGAGTGGCCAGCTGCTGCTGCTGCTCCTGTGGACTGCTGTCTATCCCAGGCATGTTGGAGATTTGCTCCTTAGCTTTCTGAATCTTTGTTTTCAGCTTTATCAGCTCTTGATGAACATCCTGGCCGTCCTTATCCTTGTCCATGCTTGAAAAGACAAAGACAAAAGTAAAATAAAACAAAAATTATATATCAATCTGTTACAGTTTTAACCTGAGAGCTTCTTATAAGAGTAACTTCTAAACATCTGTTCAATGTAGTCCAGATAAAACCGGGGGCTTAAAAATGAAAATGATATTTAATAGCATAGAGGCCTAAGACTTGCTAAATTCCTGAAACACTTAAAACAACATCAAAGCCATTACCCCAAAATAGGAGGTTTGACTGAATCTTTAATACACTGAAGGAATTTGTATTTTCTCTTACTTTTTTTAAACTGCTGGCAAAAAAATTGATTTATGGTCAAATAAAGTTACACTCCAACAAATAAAAGTAAAATTAAAAGCTCCTGAAATTATTTAATCAATATACAAATGTGTCAAAGTAAAATGTATTTACTATTTGAATTCATTTTATAAACTTGATGGCAAAAGACATCCGACATCAAAAAGACAGCATTGGTCTATGGTGGAACAAGTCTTTGGGCATTGAATCTTGATTTGAATAAAATTCAAAACCTTGTCAGTTTCCCCCACAGGTTTTGTAGATTCATAATCTACAATAACCCTGGAACTATTAATAACACTGTGATTTTTAAACTGACAATATATCATTAGACTTATTTTGATGGCAGTGAATAGATTGTTAAGTAGATCTGCTCTAAATAGCAGTAATATATTACGTGATGTTTGCTATTTAACATTTTTGAGTCTTCAAAATGTTCTGACAAACTTGACAAAAAACTGAATCACTGTGCAACAGCTGTGCTTACGAGCCAAAAGAGCAGCTGCAGTGACAAATAATATTCTTTTACTTGTTGAGATGATTCAACTGAGGTGTGTTTGCAGTAGATACAAAGAGGCAAACCATTGCTTTCCAGCGCAGTACTAATATTAATATTGCACCCTACAAGTCGCGCTTCCCACAGTCACTTCGTTTGTATATGCGATGATGACAAATAAACAAGTGCTCCAAAATTAGCCAGACATATGCGAATCTAAACGACCTTTATTGCCTTACACAAGCCCAAAATCTGTGGCGAGATGATACTTGCTACGTTACATTTCCATGCGAAAGGCAGTGATGTTAGCTTTAGCTAACAGGTCATCAGTATGTATGCTCTGAAACGCCACGAAAATGTTCTTTTCTTTCAGACGGAGTGAAGAGTAAAGGTGTACAAGTGTTTACATACACAGCAAGCACATTCTCAATGTCACCTTGCTCTTACCATTTGATAACTTCGTGAACTAAAGGCAAAAGAGAGCAATCCTCGCCGTCTTTCTCCATCCTCGGTTGAGACACCGCCATCGTTCGCTGCGCAGCTTTTCCTCGTCACATTACGGTCTGCTGACATCAGAGATGGGGAATCCGGCTCTTGTCTAGGATCCAACTCATTTGGCTCTCAGTTCACAAACGAGTTGATTCTTTCGGTTCCCAAACGGATTTTTCTTTATTGTTTCATTGAGTATGCTTAAAAATGCTTTATATTTTGATAACATAATTTTCGACGTAAAATTTTCATATTAAATGAGTGTATATAGAAACTGTCACATTTGATTTCACCAACCCTCCAACCGAAACTGTTTTCGTTCCACACAAACTCCAACCTTTTTTTTAAGCTTATTGTCTGATCTCACTATATTATTGTACCTCACGGTCTATTAATATCTTTAATGAAAGCCTTAAAGCAATATCAAGCAATGTGGTTAATAATACCCTAAAATGCACAACAACATCATTCAGCATTAGGCGCAAAAGACGGGCAGCCAGCCGTATGCGTTGGCTCAGTCTTGAGCGACACATCAGTAGAAGAACTTACAGTGAACTTACAGTTCACCAATGATCTGACCCAGAAAATAATAAAACACAAATTAATTCACCATCAATGTATATATTAGTATATTTCTAGACATACTAATCTAATTGCATCATTTTCAGTATCACAAAGTGGATTGTAAGTCAGATTTAAATGGCTCAATTTATGATTGTGATACTGTCACGTGTCCTGAATGCATGCTTAATAATAACCAGTCGTCTTAAATATAATAGCTTCACACACCAGAACTATTAAACCATAAAATTGTGTTCCTGTATATGATTTCTTATCCTACTTAAGTAGAATGGTGTCCTTAGTTCCGATTTTATTTCCGAACAATGATCATGGGGGAAGGCAAATTACATATAAGCCATAGGGTTCTCACTTTTTGTGTTCCACATATTTTTTCTTAGAGGTGACATAAAAAGTATTTTTTTCCCCAGTTGTTTGCAAAAAGTCTCAAATGTAATGTTTTGTGCTAAGCAATTAACAACTTTACAAAGAGTTTAGTATAGGCAACAATATCTTCTCTTTGCTCTGTGGAAACATGCACACTTTAAAACATTAGCACATGTTAAAAGAGCAAATCTAGTCTCTCAGGTGGCACTATGTTGTAAAATATGTCTATTCTACAGACAGTTGACGTGATTTATTTAGGTCATGCTTACATGTTTTTTTGTTTTGTTTTTTGTTTTACTTGGTTTCTCATCTGTTTTAAATTGTCATTTGTATTTATTCTATTTATTTTATCTCTGATCTCAAAATTTAAAAAAAGTATGCTTTCTGTTTACTATGATGTTTTCAATATGACATCTGATGTCATATTGAATGTCATCTTTTCAATATGACAAGGTGCAGCTGAAGCAGATTATCTCAGGAAGCAGAGATTCTGTAGACACTGTAATACTGTTTACCTATTTCTGATTGAATCCTGAAATAGATACACAGGAGGTCTCTAATGGCATTTGGAAAAGATTTTTTTGTATTTATTTATCATCAATTAACACATTCTGTTCATATCCATATTATCCCTCCAGGTCTCTTTTTTACTTCCACCAAACTTGGCTCAACTCAAGAAACAATACGTGCAGGAGGAATTATTTGTTTTTTTTCGTTGAAATCTTAGTCAGCCAGCTTTTGTTTTTATAAGTGTTTGATTAGAAGAAGCTGAATAAATATACCTTCCGCACCTTTCAGTTTTTTCCTTGTCAAAACTTTTTGTATTCCTTTCAGTTACACACTACTTTTTGTTGGCTATTCTGTAAAATTTGAGACATATATTTTAAAAAAGTGACAGAAGTTTACTTGAATGAATGCATATTGACATGATTTATGACATAGTCATTGTAATTATTACAGTACTGTAATGTACATTTAAAATCCCTTTTAAAAAGGTATGCTTTCTATGGTTATTTGTGGTTCGTGTTTTGGCCCCTGACAGAATTTCCCATATTTGAGTAAAAGTGAAATATCTTTCTGAAAATGTCCCACATGCAGCTCCTAGAAGGCCTTATGACTATCGGGGGAGTTTTGGATAACTTTTTGGCCTGCGTGACATTGAGAGACTTCCGTTTGAACCCATCCATTGCACTCCCCAAGTGACTGGCCTTGCCCTGCCCACCCCTTGTAATGACGTGAAAGAGCAGCTGACAGTTTCCAGCAGATGGGTCATATCCCAGCATCTCTGGGTGACAGCCAGCAATATGCAGATGTCCTGTCTCACGATATGCTGGCTAATTTTAGCACACTTCTCTATATGAAAGATGCAGCCAATCATTGATGTTATACGCTATTGAAATCATTGTTTAAATGTTGTTTTCTGGACTATTTCAATTAAATGCATCCTATGTGACAAATTCAAAACAATCTAGTACTTTGTAAACACTTGATTGTAGATATGAACTTAATTTTATTTTGAGTGAATATCCAGTATTTATAGAGTAAGATGGTCAAGTTTCCTGTTCAGTCATTAAAAATAATTCAACCTCATCACCACAGATTTCAAACTTAGGCTTTATTAGTTAACAAAATTCTCCACTGATTTATATCATGATTCAACTTTTCTCTTGTTCATACATTCATGGTTTGTGATTGCTTCGGTCTATTAAGGCACAATGTGAAGAAATCATTTCAAAATCTTTCTTGAGCAGATTTTGCAATCCAGTTATGTGATCTGAAAAGAAGTTTCCTTTGTGATCTATTGTATATACATGTATAAGTCTTAAAAAAACCTGCAACGGCAACAATAGGCTCTTTTGTTGTTAATTACTCCAAGCAATTCAAGACAGACAACCATCTTTGTCTTTCAAAATTAAAAATATGTACCAGTTTGTGTTAGCCTACACATAAAATGTTGTGTGTGTATGGTTCCTTGTCCTGTGTGTCTCTATGATGCCCTGTGATGAACTGATGAACTGACCAGATTGTGCTCTACCTCTCGCCTGATGGCTGCAAACCTGTGAGGATTTTATTGTGTTGCACAGTTCAACAAGAAGGTAGTTCAAAGTGATTTACATGATACAGAGAAAGGATGGATGAATAAATGGATATTGAAGTTCGTGGTTGTAATTTGACAATATGTGAAAAGTTACAGCCTGTATGAATGCACTATACACTATGGTTATGATACTTTGTCTCTTATATTTCATTCATTCTGACTCTAAATACCAGATGGGCTGTTTTTTTGCTTCAAAGACATTATTTGACAAACAAAATATATTGACAAGAGGGATTCATCTGTTCTCTGTCCTGGAAAATCACAATGAAAAACATTACATAGAAGATTCATCAGGTTTTGTTATTCATTCCACGTTTTCAGGCTAACCAACCCCAAACTCCAGCTTTGGTTTCTTCTTACATAGTAAAATAAGTAAATAATAATAATAACAAAACATACACGCACACACGCACCTACACACACACAGGCACACACAGCATATTTCCAGCATATTTCCCGGAGCGAACTTTTGTTGGGTGTGGTTAGGAAAATTTTACTCAAAAACATGAAATAAGAAATGTCAGCTTCAATCTAATCAGTAAATGTCATTGCAGAAAGATGTGGAGATTGATTAAAACATATTTATTCAGGTTATATTTAAAGGACGTAAAGGTTGCCAAATAACTTGTTTTATGCTGATTTGTATTATGAACAATGAGTAGCCAATGAATGTGGGCGTGAGTGACCAATGATTGAAAGAACACACAACAAATCGATGTGTCCAGACAAAGTCAAAGTAGTTTTTCAACTTCTTGTTGCAGACTGACAACAACTTGGGGACTACAAAAAACTGTAAGTAAAATAAAATTGACACATTATTTAAAAACTAAAGGATGCTCTTTTTTATGCTCTTTTTTATGTAGCCCAAAATTTTAACTAGATTCACACTGCCCTCAAGTGAAAAAACCTGAAAACAACAGCATTTCAACACTTTCTTTCTTTTTTCTGTTATGTTTTTATTTATTTGGTTTTTGTTTCTTTTCCCAGAGTATGCCCCTCTTTGACATATAATACAGATATGGTAGTAAAAATTTGTTGTGAATTAAATAGAGGCCAATAACTGAAATATTCCCAGTTTACTTCATTTTCCAACCATCTGACATTTAAGTTATAACTTCCAAACAGTATTCTATTCTGAGTATCTTTCTTGTATCTAAAGGTCTTTTATTGTACTGTAAATTTAGGATTTACTTTTAATCACCTGAACATTAATATGCTACTCAGTTGTTAGTGATATCTTTACCACAATAAATGTTTCTGTTAAAGTTAAAGCGCTCATTTTATGCAGGTTATTCCAGAAATTAGAGAGTGCTGCTATTTAAGATTTGTCATTTCAAACTGAGACAATAGTGACTAAATTTGTCGTTTATGCCTCGTTATGGCGACCTTACTAACATCCACTAGGTGGTAGCCTTTAACTACTGAATCCAATTATCTTCCGCCAAGAGGGTACAAGGATTCTCTTCAGGTTTTCATTGAGACTGTGCCTCTGATTTTTCTGTAAAAGAAAAAAAAAAAACTGGTCACTGAAACTCATTACCCAGGATTTGTGTTATGAAACTGGCTGTTTTTAAATGGTGAGCATAATTACGCGAGGTTAGATCTGAGGAATAAACGTTGGACTGAATTAAAGTTAAGTTAATTCAAGTCAGGTTCACTTCTTCAACAAAGCAGTTCAGTATGTTTAATGCTGAATAAACATACTTTATGGTTTTTACACCATAAAAACACAAAACAATAACCATTTATGAAGCAGCAGTAAACATTTCATTTTTGTCAAATGCAATAATCAAAATCATCAAGCAAATATTAAAAATATTGATCAACTTATGGGGTCATTTCTGACCCGCAAATTATAAAAGCATTTAAACACCAAAAAAAAAAAAAAAAAAAAGAGTTCAAAGGCCACACACAAATTAGATATAGAGGATATGAAGGTATGCTAAACCTGAGTATCCCTGGACGGTTCCTTGCTGAAGCCAGGGGTAGACGTTTCACTGTTCAACAGATGCC